CCTTTATGTGACCTTCAAATAATTCTTCAAGGTCAAACCAATGGTACCGTCTTATGGCCCCCTCGAAACCATACAACTTTTGTCTGAAACATTTTTCTCCATCTGGCTTACCTGACGAAATATTTCCGATTGTCGATTAAAATGGACCTGTATATGTATGCGTATACATATGTATATGTATACGCTATTAACGCTCTATATGCTACGTCGCTGGTTACAAATATCTCATATTCTTTGTTTAGTAGTATGAATTAAACCATCCGCTATTTCGTTTGCGTCTCAATGTGGATCTGTGTAATTAAATCTCTTTTTCGAATCTATTTCGCAGAAAGAAGAGCTCCTGCTATCTGCACTGATCTTGTTTCGGACATAAATAAGACTTGACCCCACTTCAAGGGTTATCCAGTAGAGAGTTAATGCAATGTTCAGTAATAAAGGTATTTAGTAGATATGTAACTTTGCATTTAAAAAATTTATCGCTGATACAAATAGTTTACACGTGAGGATTAAACAGTTACGAGGTACTTTTGACTGTTTACACTTATTTTTCTTATTGTAATGTGTCTATCTTGATACTAAAATAGAATACTTAAGTAATAAGTATATCTCATCTTCAATGCGGTTGTATATGCGGTATATACATGAAAACTAACAGATGTTTCGAAATGTTTCGAAATAGAGAGCTGGTTAAGGTCCGAACACGCGATAAAACTTCAGCAGCAAAACTTTAACTTAAAGTAATGACCAATGAAAGTCAAGAACGTAAGCAGCAATTTTGTAACCTAAGCAATGCTACAAATTCCAATTAATTGAAATTCGGAATTCTTAAGTTTTACTGCTTAAGTAGTTCCGTGTGTTTCTAATTTTAGTCTTATAAAGATACAGTGAAGGTGCAGCAATATCGAGATTCACCAATTAGCATTCTGGAACCAGTTTCCGTAGCATTGAATTTCACTGTAATTTCATGGAACTGTAAGAAGAATACTTTAGATTATTTCGCAAGAGTATCTGAAAGAAATGTTTCAGAAAATAATAAATATAAATAAATAAATAAATAAAAGTATAATAGTGAAAGAGAATATATTGAAGTATATAATTCAAAACACTTAAAGCACAATGTAACTATTGATAAGAAAATGTAGTTTCTTCAAAAAAGTAAAAAATAAAAGATAATATTGTTAATTATTATGACAGTAAAAAGATATAATAAGGTGGAATAACAAAGCAAAAGCGGACAATTATACATGAGAATCCCGTCGATTCTCACAACTGAGAAATTCGAAATAAAACGATGAATGTACTCGTCATAACCGGTTTTACAACTGTTGAATAATCGAAGTGAAAAGAGAATATTTACTCATAGCGAGTGTGAAAGATTCACGGCAGATGTCTGGTTTCTGTACGGAATAGTGCTCCTTTTAAATGTAATCGACTGAAGCAATGAGTGATTAAAGTGATTCCTCCTAAACACGTACGTCATTAAAATTTTTAGTTTTGTCTGTTTAGTACATACATACAAAATATACACTTGCTACTGACTGTATATTTGCTGTATCGCTCGTTAGTGTCATCGCTCATTTACGATTTTAAGCATCCGCTGTTTCGTTTGAGCCTCAATGTGGATCTGCGCAGTAAAATCTTTTCTTTGGAACTATTTCGCATAAAGATATTTCTGCACGAAGCTGATTGTTCAGAAATAACGTTATTGTGTGTTGGAAGAGAAATGTTCACACCAACTGAAAAGTGACTAAAGTTACAAAAGTGTAATTATCTCCTTGTGATACAGAGCATAAAGCACCTCTTGCACTTAAAGCTGTCACAGTCCATGGGAATATTTATGTTATATACAAATTATATGGCTTTTGTGTACAAGTGTTTTACTATTTAGACTAAATCTGAGAACAATATGGTATCATTCAAACTAGATTTAAAAGTCTAACGAAAAATTTATTTCCTTGAACAAGCACGTGTATAAATAACCTATAACTTTTATTTAAACGAATAGACTTCTTTTTATGCTTCCATATTGTTACAACAAAATTTAATATACAAAAGTATATAAATACAAATGAATATGAATACCTATGTATACATCAAGCATATAATCGCACAGATCACGGTAGATTTATAGTATTTCTAAATTTTATTTTATAAAAAATTATTTTTTTTAGTTTTTTGGCAATTGCCTATGAACTTATATTCTAGACGGAAAGAATCGATAAATCTAACGTTAATCACACTTTGATCAATAGCAATTTCTTTGAAATTTTATTATAATAGATTAAGAAGAATTCGTAAACATTGTGATTTCCAAAGGATTTAGGAAATGTGAATTTTTATTAGCTTTTTAACGGAGCCTCACAAGATGGTTAAGATTTGTATCTTATTCGTGTTACTGCCGCACCTGTTTTATACCATGGTACATAGTACAACTTCGTGTTCGGAATACCTCACATACACGATCGATCCCGACACACGCAAGATATTCGGACGGATCGAAATTCTACCACCAAAATGCCCACCAGAAAATGAGGAAATTTATTTAAAAGTAGCCTTAAACGCTACCGCTGATTCGATAGTAAGTAAACCTTTTAATATAGTATTATTAAGAATGCGGGTGATTTCTAATGATTTTAGCACATTGAACTGAAACCTTAAAATAAAATTTAGCTAATCAGAATCGTTAGTTTTTGTAATTAGTAATGGTCTTTATAATTAATGCTGTAAAGAAATAACACTGAATTTAGTTTTAAGAGGAGTATAGATTTAAATAATCAAAGTACAATTAAAAAACGTTCTGTTGCAACACGATCTGTTTTCTGTATTATATTGAGATATATGGAATAAGTTTTAATATCTCTAAGCTTTTTTAATATCTAGACATTAATAAGACAAAATAGAAAATATAATTCTCGTAGTTTCAGATATATTATCAGGAATTAATTTAAGAGCTATATTTTTTATTATACTTTATCTGAGTTGTCAATTGTTAATTTTATTCATTAATAAATAGAAATATTTTAATATGTAAACGGACTTGACTGTCACCGCATCATCCATATTGGTCGAAGGCAGAATCAAAACATCCAATTAATAACTACATACATATGTATACAGGGTGGACCATTTTAACCTTTAATGGAGAATAACTCGACCGGTAAGCGAAATAATAAAAAATGTTTCAGACAAAAGTTGTTTGGTTTCGATGGGGTCATAAAATGGTACCATTGGTTTGACCTTGAAGAATTATTTGAAGGTCACATAAAGGTCACACCAATTTTTTTAAATGGCATGCCCTATTTTTATTACATATTCTTGTAGCTGACCTCGAGAGCTTTCCAAAACGCTATAATAAAGTATTCTTTTATTAAGAACCTTTTGAGTTATTAAGGTTTGAAAGTTCCAATATTATGACATAAATTACAAAATATCTTGTAAAATACCAATTTCAAGAATTAAATCGACAATAACTGGCAAATATATTTTAATTAATTACACGACGTTTCGGCCAGTAATACTGGTCCTTCTCAAGTGTTGACCCAAGTGTGATCCAATCGAGATTTTACAAACAGCATCACCATCCCATATATCGGGAATGTTAGCGACGTAATCAAGAAAATTTTACACAACCAACACATTGAGACGCGTTTTTCAGCCTCTAAAAAATTAGATTTGTTGATAAGGAAAGGGAAGGATAGAATTGCTGATCCAAACCGTACTGAATTGGTCTACCAACTTAATTGTGTTGATTGTGATGCAATATATATCGGCCAAACTAAAAGACACATTGTAACGCGCATTAACGAACATCGCAACGACATTAAAAAGCCTGTTGACAACCACTCAGTTGTCAGCAAGCATCGCAACCTTGCTGGACATGAATTCGACTGGTCCAACCCGTTAATCTTACACAAAGAACCACATTTTAAAAAACGCGAAATAGCCAAGATGTTCTATATAAAGAAGTCCCATGATTATACGATCAACCTTCAACAAGACACCGACAATTTAAGCGCTATTTATGATAAGATTGTACGCACGACTTAATCTCTATCCTATATTGTTTTCTTATTTATATAATTTATTTACCTGTCCCCCCCACGTGTTGTGTTTTACGTCCCGACAAATGTCGTTCTCTCTTCGAAATTTAACACCGTCATTATCTTACCAGCCGTTTATAATACCTGACGCTTTTATTAGTTTTTAACCAACGTTATACATATTAATATAGTGATTTTATTCGACCATGCACAAAATTGCATACTTCGACATGTCACCCGTAAGTAACACCACTGTATAAGTATATCTCGCGTACTCGATTTCTGCACCTGCGCTCTAAACCTTGCAGATTTGCTGTCACACTTGGGTCAACACTTGAGAAGGACCAGTATTACTGGCCGAAACGTCGTGTAATTAATTAAAATATATTTGCCAGTTATTGTCGATTTAATTCTTGAAATTGGTTTTTTATTTACTGGCGATCCACCTCTTCAAAATTGATCTTGTAAAATATTCATTTTTTATCATCTTAACTTAATACTTTTTTTAACAGAATATTGATACAAATCAACCGGTGTAAAGAAAACACATAATTTTGTAACAAGTATAATAAAAAAAATTTTTTTGAACAATTTTGTGTTTTCTTTACACCGGTTGATTTGTCTCATTATCCTGTTCAAAAAAGTATTAAGGTAAGACGATAAAAAAATGAATATTTTACAAAATATTTTGTAATTTATGTCAAAATATTGGAACTTTCAAACCTTAATAATTCAAAAAGTTCTTAATAAAAATACTTTATTATAGCGTTTTGGAAAACTCTCGAGGTCAGCTACAAGAATATGTAATAAAAAATAGGGAATGCCGTTTAACAAAATTGTGACCTTTATGTGACCTTCAAATAATTCTTCAAGGTCAAACCAATGGTACCATCTTATGGCCCCCTCGAAACCAAACAACTTTTGTCTTAAACATTTTTTATTATTTCGCTTACCGGTCGAGTTATTCTCCATTAAAGGTTAAAATGGTCCACCCTGTATATTGTACCTTCCTAGTAAAGATTATAATGTTAACTTATGCACTGCATAACGCGATATGCTCACAAAACTCATCTTTTACTTTACTTGTTAATTACATCTAGAATCCTTAGCTATTTAACCACTTATTAGCAATAGCTTAATTATCATTGTGTTCCAGAAAGGGATATTTCGATTGGAATTGGCACGTTCTATAAACGAGTCCATTCAAGCTGTTAAACAAGGCAGATCTTTAGTGTATCACGTTTATTTTCCCTCGGATGACAAGTTTCCGACGTTATCCGCAATATGGATTAACACTCAACAATACTGCCTCGGTCCCAAACGTAAGTACCGTATTTACTTGAAATATAATATATGATGTAAGTGTTACATATGCTCGCGCGAGGAACTAGAAGCGAGAATCCGAGTTGTAATTCTTTCGAGCTGCATAAAGTTAATATTTACCCACAACTGATTTTTAACTACTGTAGCAAAAGTAAACAATAAGCTAAAACTCTCATTTTAAAACAATGAAAGATCCTTTTTATCATACGAGTATACATCATTTTCTATCTTTACGTATAAACGATTTCGCGATCATACATTGTGTATGGAAAATATTTCGGTAATTATGCATAAAAGGGGCCTCCTCTCCGATTTGCTTTATTTTTAAATATGTTGTTGGGGATGTCTTTCCGAGTCATTTCATATATATACAATATATATATATATATATAAGGGCCGGACTCAAATAGTTTCGCAGATACAGGCTGAGAAAGGATACAAATAATAAATATATGGTTTTTCTTCTTTCTTCTTCAGTATAGCTGCTCCACCTCCAAAATCAATCAAATTGGTCTCAATCGATGCGTTTTTTAACGAGGAACAACTTTTTTCTCAGACAAAATCGTCGCTCTGCCCTGCGAAGCGAGATATTAATTGTTAAAGTTGACAACTTTTAGTGTTAGAAAATCTGTCATGCGGAACATACTGTCTCCACGTATATACTTCTGCCGTTGTATTGTTCCACATGGGTTTGCAACTTTCCACGTGAAGCGAGATTCACTCCACACCTCTGACATAGGGTGGGTAGGGTTATTTTTAACGAGGTGATGCCCCCCCGAAGGGGGGGCGGAACATACTGTCTCCACGCATACATTTTTCTACCTACATATAAGTCACTCCCCTCCACCAAATGTAGATGGAAAAATGTATG